AATATTGTAACTTTACAGGTATTTTTTCCACAAAGTTTTATTTTATCAACTGAAAAACTATGCATTTAAAAAAAAAAAATACATATATACATATATATATAAAATATCTAGTACATTTTTTAAAGTATTAATTTACATGTAAACTGTAATACAATTTTTTTTAAAGTAGTAAAAACTGTAAATACTGCCCACATTGGATTGTATGTGACCATAAAATTACACAATTTTACTATATTTAAATCCACCAATAAAAAATATTATTTTGCACATATTTGCTGTGATGTTCACTGTTTTTACAGCGAACATTGAACATCACAGTGTTCCACTCTTGCTGCCAGATTTATTTCACTGTAAAAGTATTCAAAAAGCCTCCAGACATGCATGCATTTGTTTGAAATAAATGTGTATTTTCCTGTATTTCAGTAAGACACTGAACAGTGAGGAAGAAACACAACATAGAAAACAGCAGAAGACTTTATGTGATCTGAAGCAGCAGCTTGAAGAGCTCCAGAATAAATGCTCACAGCTGAACCAAGAGATCGGCAACAAACATCAGGCGCTTTTCAAAGGAAGAGAGGAGCGGGACAAACTGAGGCAACAACAAATCATATTTCACACAAGCATTTTTCCATTTTCCATTTCCCAGTCTGGTGAAATTGTGTGAACTCTGCTCCGTTTGTGTTTAATAGACTGGAAGAAAGGAACGTCCAGGTTTCATACGAGTCCAAGCTGAAGAGGAAGAATCAGCTCTGTGCCAGTCGGTCCAACAAGCTGAAGCGGTTTGGAGATCACGTTCCTGACCTCATGGCTTTGATCAATGAGGCTTCTGATAAAGGACGCTTCCGAAAGAGGCCCGTTGGTCCAATAGGTGACTCTATTCCTCATGTTTTGCCAAATTGAGCGCTCTGTTTGTTTGACATTTTTGGCAAATATGATCCGCTCGGCAAGGCTTGGAGGAGAAAATCGATAAAACTCGCATGTCTGTGGAGTAAATATGCCCCCAGCAGCCAAGTCGGCTCACATAAACACTAAAAGCAGGAGGAAACAGCTGGTCTGGATCCGTCCAGATGTAACAAATCTGCCTAACATCATTTCTGTGAAAACTAAAAAGCTTCTGGCTCCCACATAACCCTCATAAAATCACAGGTTTCTGCGTTTACACTTTAGTTTTGTATGGATTAAACACAAACAAAAAGATATAACATGTTAGTTAGTGAGCTTTGAAGGTGTTGTTAGTAGATTCACCCTGAATCCTGTCTTGATGCTAAGCTAGTTAGCTGCACAGGCGTGAGCGTAATATTC